TGGGATCGTTGTGTTCACTCCCAGGGGAACTACTTCGAGGGTGATGGATGAATTTAATACCTGAGATAAGTGTACGGGTTTTTATAGGCGCAGTCTAGAAACTTTCCGATCGCACCTCGTATATAAAACTGTGTCGCTCTGATACCAGAAAACGCGATTTCTTAACGATGTCGCGAGCATTGCGGAAGGTTCGCCGTCAAATCAAGACCCACGATGGGTTTCGTTCATGGTCACCCGGGAGGAACGCACGTGTCGAAAATGTCTGGTATATACTTAATTTCTTCCCGCATTAGAGCAGGATGTTGTACGATAAAGTTCTTTCTTTTCCGCGTATCTCGATTTCTACGGCTATGATTTTCACAGTACGCTTTGTAGCAACGTTCAAGAAATTAACGGCGTTCGTAATCCGGTAAACCCCTCCCCGTTCTACGAATTACTTCAAGGTATATAAAGAATTTACTGAACCTTCACGGCATCTTTCGTTGGTTCCTGCTTCAGGATTCCGTTTCTGGATGCTGCTAAGGGACGGCAGAAACCAGAAAACAGGTCACTAATAAATCGGTAAGGCCACAGACATCAGAACAGAGGTCATCAGTCAACCAAGTATATACGTGAATTACAGGGCACCCTATACCAAGGGACAGGAAGTGACCGACCGCGTAAAACAAGAAGGAGAAGCCTATTTCTGGACCACCCCAGTGTTCTAGTGATCAGTACCCACAATGCCTTTGGAGTACACTAACATTCAAAAGCCAGTATCAAATTCAAGAATATGAACCCAGGGCATTGTCCAAAAGGTGACCCCTTGCGTACGACAAAGTTTAAATAACACACAAAAAACGTGATAAAACGATAGCCTACTCCCAAATTCGAGAGCGCCCGTTAGTGGACGACACGCAGCGGTCGTGAGACGTACTACAACAACGAACAGCACAATTATCAAAAGTCTCTAGCGGTACACAAAGAGATGGCAGCACTACTTCAGTTCTTCTCGATTCTTTAATATTTGGGACGAAGCTGTTTCAACGGCGGGGATTAGACCCTATGGGGCAAAAGTACACGTAAATGATGTGACTGGTGAATTGGGAAAGGCATCGAAGGGGGTACCCTAGAAGGCATGAGGCGTAACTTGTCAAGAGATCGGAAAAACCTTTAAAAAAAAACCCATGGCCGACAACGCGACCGAGGGGTTTTGTCACCCACAGAATGAGACTCATGAACTGGAATGGATAAGGAAGGAAGCTGTCGCTATTTTAAAACAAACGTACCAAGAGAAAACCAACAAATCTTTCAGTCAACGGGAACAGTAGCTATTTGAATCTGCAACCATCTGACGGGCGAAAATCACTCCTCATACACACATTTCATCGTTTCGTCAGCCATCGCCGTAGCATTACCCTCGCGAGCTGTCATCATCGGAAGTTTCAACATCCTGCCCCACTCCTGAAGAGAGTGTCTGGCTGCCCTGGTTTGCTACCTTGCGAAGTTCCGGGAGAAGCAGCGACCATCTCTCGCCGCAGCTGTCTGCGACCCCCAGAGGGTTGTACCATCTGCAGTCTTCACCCCCTACAGCTGCAAGTTTCAACCCTGCACTACTCCGATTCTTTGTCCTTTTCCCACGAGACAGCGTAGTTCAACCTTTCTACACTCGCGGCACACTAAAATATTGTCCAAGTCATGGGGGCTCACCAACCTCCATTTAACACATCGTGAGGGGTTGAGGGGGGGATGTAGATGCTTTATGGCATTGATTGGCCGCGACAATTTCATATGAATCTACCTCAAACCGAAAAATTTTCTATTTCACGTTTATAATTATCCGTCTTTTATTATCGTGTAATATACTTTAAATATGTTCATTAATTAAAATATTACATTTCCTTGAGTTTGATCCAAAATCTATTAACTATGCGAGAACATTTAAACTTAAAAGATATTTATATTTTATACATACAAAGTACAAATGGTAGATACGCGACGTTTCGCTGCTCCAAGCCAAAGGCTTAGTAAACAAGTAGATAGGATAAACACTAATTATATATTAGACAAAAATCTTCCTGTGATTCTGTCCATAAAGTATTTTAGATCTTAAACTCAGATTACCGCGTTTTTTGGCTTAAATCAATCCGTACCTCAAAGAAAACACCACGTCATTACAAATATCAAACGTCCAACGCTGTTTAAGGAATTAATATCTGTTTTGCGACGAAAATAACAGGAAACCAGTTACTGACTGTCGAGGCAGCAGGGACAAACACTAACCACCGGGATTTAAAGGGTTATTTGGCAATTATATTTTCGCTAAACGAAAGACTCCCAAGAAACGTAAACCTTTCGTAAGAAGACGGATAGGTAGGATGAAACACATATAAAAAGAGAGAGCCAGTCTGCTGCACCTCGGCGAATGAATGGGGCACGACAAGTTATATATAGACACGCGGGGGGACGGGGCGTGGGTTCAGTTCCTGGTAAGTCGAGCTGTGCCACGTGCCACACCACGTGTGCCGGAATGTTGCAATGGACACGTGCGTGACGCTACACGACTCGACCGTAAATAACACCAAAGAGCTGGTAGCACAACCCGAACAGCCGAGAAGAAAACCCTTTCAACGCGACGAGTCCTACAAACCCGCGTTCAAAACATTTTCGAATTTCGCCTCCATTATAACAAGAAGGTCGCTGTCACATCTGAAATGTTACAAACCCCAGACCCCTAGGAATAATCTCCGTCTAGCATTGCACACCATAACTTAGAAGCAGGCCCACTTCTAAGCAAGTACCTTAAAAGCTACGCATTGCAAATACAAATGCCGGAACGCCTATTGTAATGGGTTTCTGCGATCGGGACGAGATATTTCTACGAAAATATTAAACGTACCTAAAGTCCACACGACGCCAATAGACAGATCACCACATGAAACATTAATGTAATGAAGGTAGCTTTGTTAAGGCCTGAGGGGAAGAGACCTCTGGGGAGACCTAGACGTAGATGGGAGGATATTCTCAGGCGGGATCTATGGGAGATAGGAGCTGAAGGAGACTGGAATTTGTTGGCCCAGGACAGGGCTTTGGTTAATTCGGTGATGAACCTTCGGGTTCGGTAAGCCATCTGGTTGGTTGGGTCCACTATTTGGGAAGCCTGAAGGGAAGAGACCGCTGGAGAGACCTAGACGTAGATGGGAGGACAATGTCAGGCGGGATCTATGGGAGATAGGAGTTGAAGGCGACTGGATTTTGTTGGCCCAGGAGGGCTTTGGTTAATTCGGTGATGAACCTTCGGGTTCGGTAAGCCATCTAGTTAGGTAGATAGCTTTGTTAAACGACATACTGTAGAACCAAGAATTCTGCAAAATGTCACTGCTATTCGCATCATTTTCATTACTCCCTCCGTCTTCTCGTAACCTGCTACAATACCTTCTTCCAGGTGCCGTGTTAACGCAATGGTCCTACCAGTCGCTTCATCAGAGTCGACAATTTACAACTCTCCAAGTGTTTCTTAATAGTTCCTTATATGACAACGTACTTCTGAAACATTCGTCCCGTGTTGCGCCAACACCAAAATCTTCCGCTCGAACTTCCGAAGTTGGTCTTTTCTGCGCGATGACAATAACCCGCTTGAAGAGAATGCAACAACATTCTTCAAGGGCGGCTGCTTAGGAACCCGTGGCCACCCCTCCCCCCCAAAGGTCGCAAGTAACAACAAAGGGCTTATGGTAGGGGAGCTTTGCCCCACACCAACACCTAAGGCTCTCAGAATAGGCGGTGAGCACATGTTCTATCCCAACACAAAACTAGAAGCTACACCGAAGAGCAAAGTCTGCTGGCCGGAAAATGTACTGTCATGGTATATTTCTAAAAGAACAAAAGCTGTGAAGATGTCTGTCGATGCGGGGACCTGGAATCTCAACTCCGGTAGCGTCTGGAGAGGAAAAGCTTTGCATCTTCTACATTTTACGACTCCAAGGGTTTCATTGAGGCTTCTTACAGGCCACGCGGTCTGAGGCATCGTTCTCGTTGCTGTGACCGTGGGTTCGAGTCCCACCGAAGGCATGGATGTTTATCCGCGTCCTTTCTCTTCCAGTCTGGTGGATAAAGGCTGGCCACGGAGGGCAAGGCGAAACCGCCTTGGTATTTACGCAAGACAACCCGAAAGGGGGGTCACGACGGTCAAGCTGACCACAGCCGGTAACTTCGTTCCTTTCTTTACCTCACAGTAACAGACCGGAAACAGACACTGGTTGCCTTAGAGACCAAGGCTATGGTAGCACTTCTACTCACCAGGGTCGCTGGCAAGCTTGTTGACGACAGCCATGACACCCGCCACGTCGTGAGGGTCGTCAACCACGGCAGGCAAAGTCTCCAGCACCAGGCGCCCCACCATCTGCCTGCAATCACACAAAGCGGAAGAATTCTTTACTTACGGGAATCACAGTTTTCGAATCCACATCGGGAAATTAACTTCTGAACAGCATAAGTTTCCTCGATCAACACAGGTATTTTACGACAGTCTGATATTGTTCCTATAAGATAAGCAGAGCTCGGAACGCGATCGAAATAAGACAATTCCCGAAACGTCGTATATCAAGTAGCCCATATTAAACAAAAAAAAACAATATCCAGCAATAGGATTTTCCCACAAAAAGTTATCGACCACCAGAAACGGAAATAATTAAGATAAACTAGCAGAAACGAAGTCATCATCCGGTGAACTATTAGCCTACGCAATGGCACAAAGGTGAAAGGTCACTGGACTCACATCATTGAGGCGTATAAATGCTTCCTGAGGAGGGGACGGACGTACACGAATTAAAATACGAAAAAAGTCAAAACAAGAGAACAGTTTAAACTGTAATGAAACACGTGGCGCGTGATGGTAAATAAAGCCACTCTGGCCTTCCTCTTCTATCTGCAGGGTGTATAATATGGCGCGTAAAATGACAAAACACTTACTACCTAATCTGCATTGCATTTTTTGTAATAATACGAGTTGTAAACGTACCCAACACTCAATTTTTCACATTTCTTTCTGAAGTGGGCGATTAATTCAAGGAATCAGGAACCACAACAATAAACGTGTAGGCCTACGCATCATCCAAAGACGATCTTTGAGAAATTTAACGCCTCGTTAACTCGTCCATCTGTTGCGTGATAAAATATTAGATTATAACGGTCCTACTAACATTTCGCGGTTCTAATATCGTTCGGAGTGCGTGTGTGTGCCCTCTAGAAAAATCACAATGACCTCCCGGGACGAAAACCTAGAGAGAAAAGAGACAATTTGGAAGTAAGGAAGACCACTGAAATTGACTGTGACGATGTGGACGGGCACAGGATAAGCTATCCAATGGCGGCCCGCTGTCATCACGATTCCTTGCATCAGCGTTTTCAAAACAATTTAGCGTAGTACAACTACCACAAGTTTATTTCTAACCTAACCTCGCATGAAACCAGTAACCGATAAAGCTGTGTACCGTCTCCAACGTAACGGGATAGACAACGGTTCGATTCCCCGAAGGAATGCGGACGTTCCCCTAATTTCGAGTCTAATTAACCTCTCCGGTAGGTCACAGAGGAACTTTCTGATTAATAAAACTGCTAACCGTGAAGGTGTCTGCCTACTTCCATCCAGCGCCGAGAGATTATTATATTATTAAGTGTTCTGTCTTACGACAGGTCCATTGCTCTGCCCAAAAAGAGCTCTCCAGTTGTCCCTATTCTCAGCTTCTCGTTTTAATTCCTGGAACGTCATCTTCTTTCCTTGTTTAAGGTCGTCGGTTAGCTGTATCAATCTTCTTCCCAGTCCTCGCTTTCCTTCAACCTGGCCTTCGGTGATATCACTCAGTAATCCATTCCTTCTCATAATATGTCCCAGCCAGTTAGCTTTCCTTCGTGTAATCGCCTGCAGAATGCTTCTTTGCTCGTTGACTCTCCTCAATACTTCTTCGTTGGTCACTCGATCCGTCCACCTGATCTTCTCTATTCTTCTCCAACACCACATTTCGAAACTCTCCAGGTATTTCTGTTCCTTCTTCCTGAGTGTCCAAGTCTCTGCTCCATACAGCGCGACACTCCATATGTAACACTTCACTAGTTTCTTCTTCATCTCCAAGCCCAACTTGCTAGTGAGAAGTATCCTCTTCTTGACGAAAGCTGCCTTGGCCATGGCTATCCTTGCTTTTACTTCCTTGGTGCATAGGGCGTCCGTCGTGACTATGCTTCCCAAGTACTTCTCGTGCCCCGCATTCTCCATCTGTTGGTTTCCAATTACAACGTTCAATGGTTCTGCTCTCGGTGCTATCCTCATTACCTTTGGTTTTTCAATTTTGATTTCCATTCCATACTCTCCACCTGTTTCCACTAACTTATCCATCATGTTCTGTAATCCCTATTCTTCCTTCGCCAATACTAGGGGTTTATAATTACACCTGAAGAGGACAGATATCTTAGTCTCCGAAACGTCCATCAGACCCATCTAATTTTATCCCGACAACTGATAAACCCAAATAATTATACTTTGGGACAGAATCAAAATTCACCGCACTTTTCACAGCCCTAAACCAATCTGTAAAATATGTTTCTCTTATCACTGCCCCACTCCTTCCGAGGTCCCTGTGATTTCCAGTCTTTGTGAAGATATTACTGGCATCTGAAAACCGGAGAGAGAACACAGCAAAATGGCATCCTTGGCCCCAATCCCGCCAGAACACGATGCACCACGATCTCTCACGAAGTTTGCCGATCAATGCAGTGGCTCGTAGTACACACTGCAACCAAGCCTTCAGTTATGGCCTGACACAAACAAAGCCTTCGTCTGCTTCGTTTATATCAACACGTTCAACGCAATCTCGAGCCTGTTTTGATGCCTCACGACTCAAATCGGGAGGTCCTGGGGGCCCTATACACTACGGGTCTGTTAATGATAAAACAATGGCCCTTAAGTGAGACTTCATTAACAATTTTAAATAAAACCTTATTATTATTTTTTATTTATTTAGTTTTCTGTCTGACGACAGGTCCATATGAACAGGATCCTTCCATCCTTTTCTCGGACTGGGACCTGTTCATATACGTTCTTGGCAGATGATCCAGAAGTGATTTGCCATTGCCTTCTTCTGTGTGTGAATGGAGTAATTGTTGGGATGCCACGGAGGAAAACTCCGTGTTGCCTAGACCACGGCCTTGCCCAACACAAGTTATAAATTCGGTCACCGCCGGGAATCGAACCCGAGACCCCAGGATTACAAGGCCGGCGTTCTAACCGCTACGACATTTGCCTGGAGAGAGAGAAAGAAACAGGGTAATATTAAAGAGAGAGCCAAGACCGCGTTCTTATATCGCACAGGAGTGTCTAACCGTGAGAGTTGATTTTCGTTTTGCCAAATCACGACAAGAAACCTTAATAATTTCTATCAGCTGTTCGTAACAGTCGCAAATGAAGAATCGTGACTTGTCTGCGTCATGACGCCGTACAGCCTTGAAGGTGGCGTCTAAATACAAGGCCACGTGGCATCGTAACCCAGAACACGATTAAAAATTTAACATCTCGCAGCTTCGCCATCATCAGCTGCGTGATCCTTCCACAGATTAAAATATTATCCAGGTTAGTAACTTACCCTTCTCTCTCGGCGCGAGTCCTACACCAAGTGTTACCCGTCAGAAGTCTTGAACCCGTGCACTCATACTAAGAGCCCATTGGCCGAAACGGCCTCTAAAACACGACTTTCTCGGTGGACACTGAGCGGGCACACGAAACAACGGAAATTGTGAATTTCAGTCAGAATCTGATGTTGACGAGACCAGATTCTGCCTTTAATTCCATCAAGGGCCTACGCCCTCTACAATATTCGCGCTCAAACTCTGTCTGGAGAACATCGGAGGAATATATCTCCTCGCGAGATGACGTATGTGGTTATTAGTAGCCTTAAAAAAACAGATCGCGTAATTGGGTTGTGAACGAGCGAACTGAAAGGAGAATTAGATTGGGAAAGTCTCGTAGAACGCGGGGATGATAACGGATGACAGAAAAATAATATTAGCCCTACAAAAATATGGCGGGAGGGTACGTACTGGATTCGTTGGCCTCATTTTAGGGTCGATTGTAAATCAAATCTTTGGGTCCAATAAAACCAGCGGAATTTATGTCCTAACTGAGCGGGTGTGGAGGAGTTCGTCTGCAAACTACAATGAACCGGACACAATCTCATTCAACCAAGTATTCTGATAAAAAAAACCCAAAAAAAAACCCCTGCTTCGACGTTCAGAAGAATCTTTCTGCGTGTACTCCCAGATATTTTGGCGGGAGAGGGGAAACTCGCGTTCAAACCTTAAAAACCACCCCCTCCCCCCTTACAAAACACGACCGTATGTCCGTCTGCATTCCCAGGCGAGAGAGACTCCTTCCTTCTCCCAAGATGCAATTCATACGCCGTCCTTCAATTCATTCAATAAAACTAAAACGGGTTTCGACTCCCAGTGCCGCCGATGGAACCTGCCTCGGTGGGGTACGCGATTCTCCAGACTACACAGCCCCCTACTAAGACCCGTATTGGGTTGATACTCGCCGTAATTACTCATTCAGCGGTGGTGAACGAGCGTCCGAATCAGCGATTGGTCGAGAATCAGCTGTGAGCTGCATCCACTGGTCGATACAACTCGCATTGCCGCGCCCACCGGCAAACATGGCCGCCACTCGTACCTGCCCATACCACACGCACGCAAACTCTTATACACGGGCGTCGTGCGGGCTGCATACACATCAGGGAAGAACGACAGCGAAATGGAGCAGACATTTTTCTCGGGGCGGCAGAGACGATGACGATCTCCGACGACAACGCGTGGACTTGTGGGTCTGTAGCGTCGTTTCTGAGTAACAACACTGACGATCGAGGCAGCACGTTTCTCAAAATATACTGCACGAACGTAAGCGTCCACAACCCGTGAGAAGACCAACGGTAATTAATAGAACGGTACCGGAATTTCCGGGCAAGCAAATTAAAATCCAGGAAAATATTTGGACACGTGTCCCCGAAGGTGTCAAAATGCGGAGAATATAGAATTTTTGCGGGAAAAGTTCCTGACAAGGAATTACTAAGAGATAAAGGATGTAATGGGAAGGCAAACCAGAACGCATGGCCTGAAATTGATACCAATTCGACTAAATATTTTTTTTTTAGAAGCGTGGGATTAAGGCGGTTTAATTATTAAGCTCGTGCCTCCTTGGCCGAAGGCAACACACCTCACGTCCCCCCGCACCGAAATAGTTTGTCTTTACGACAAAAAGTAGCTTAAGTTAAGGATACATCAGATCTTTTGACAGAGAAAAGGTGCATTTTCATAAGGGTCGAGGACTTCATGGCCACAGACGATTGAAAAAGGTGGTTCAGTC